ATCTAAATAACAATTCGCAAACCATCACTTCATATTTGGAACACATATGACGAATCATTCAATTCACGAAATGATTCACGAACCCGCTCCGAAGGTCCGATATGAATCAAAAGATTTACAAACCCACTCCAAAGTTACGATCTACATCAAACTATTCACTATCCATGCTCCGAAGTCCCGATCTAAATAACAATTCGCAAACCATCACTTCATATTTGGAACACATATGACGAATCATTCAATTCACGAAATGATTCACGAACCCGCTCCGAAGGTCCGATATGAATCAAAAGATTTACAAACCCACTCCAAAGTTACGATCTACATCAAACTATTCACTATCCATGCTCCGAAGTCCCGATCTAAATAACAATTCACAAACCATCACTTCATATTTGGAACACATATGACGAATCATTCAATTCACGAAATGATTCACGAACCCGCTCCGAAGGTCCGATATGAATCAAAAGATTTACAAACCCACTCCAAAGTTCCAATCTACATCAAATTATTCGCAATACATGTCCGAAAGTCTCATTCTGAATCAAATGATTTACGATACCCGATCTGATTGGAGAGCATCGAAATAGTAGCTAAATCATTTTGCAACGTTTTGGATTTGGAGTTTCGAAAAGCTCGATTTCACCCATCACCACGTGCTTTTTAAAACCATTACAAGTGATGTCGAAATTCAAAAATGAATGGCTCTTTGATCTGATTTTTTGCTAGAGAATGGAGTTTGTGTTTGAATCAGTTGGAGCAGTTCCAGCGTAAATGACTCACTCAATTGATTCGGTTTGTTTGTACCACCGCTTTTCGCGTCTTCAGTCATGTTTACACGGCACTACTACTGGCTCATCTCGCTAGTTTTATGACATTAACTAAAATAAGCGAGAAAAAATAAATATAAAATATCAGTATTTCCATTCCAAAGATAACATCCAACACAAATCTATGAACATATTCAGGGGAGGTAACCGGTTTACTGCTAACTAGTGAAACACTCCATTATTATATTGAGCTGCAGCTCTAAATACATGTTAGATGGAAACATTCACTATTCACTATAGGCCTATTTGAAATAGTTTTTGTGCACTGCAGTTCAGTTTGTGACAATTCAAGAGGAAGTCAGTTAAAAGCATTACATTATTAAAAATTGTGTTATTGTAAGATGGGAGATTATGGGAGAAGCAGATGAACACAAAATACCTTGATTTTGATATTAGTGGGGACATAACAGCATTACCCCCAACATTTTTGCATGTATTCATGTAAGGACATTCATAAAGACTGGCACCTGCTTCATTCTTGAACGAATCAGCTGCTTGAACGAATTGGTTGAATGAATGACTCAGTAACTCACTCATTAAAACGGTCAGTCGCTGCCACCTACTGGTGGTTTGGTTTCATACTTAAGATTATCTGTTATAAAGTGTCTTATTATTGTAATTTTGTATTGTAGACTTTGACAGGTTGCTATGAGTTTGCCAGAGTGTTCAGAATGGCAAAAGGACAAAAGTCTTCTTCTCCGAAAAATGTATCAAAATGAAGTGAATTTTAGGCTCAAAACTTTTCTATTAGAAAAATAATTTTGTTGTCCCTTTGAATTAAGCAAATTTTCCATTTACACATATTTGTTATTGTTTCAAGCATAAATTCACTTCATTGTAATGCATTTTTCAGAATACGAGACTTAAGTCATTTTGATTCTCAAGTATATGATTTAGGGATGTTCAGATATTTGTACTGGAAAACAGGACAAAAATACTTAGGTATAATTATTTTTTTGCAGTGCTTAGCATGTGTTTGTGTGAGCTGATTACAGCAAATGCTCTCTGAGTCTGTATCATATTCTCTGAGTCTGTGATATATTGAAATCTTTATTGAGTTGTGACTGAGTTTGTACCTTTTCCACAAACCATCCAGCCGAGGATCCCTTGTTGTTGTGTCCGATGGTTATTTTCCTCACTCTGCCCAGGTTCGGAGCCTCTACGGTGAACTTGTCTTCGGTTCCCCTCTCAAAGTTGTTTTTATCATTGTCTAGTCGTCTCTCTCCTTTGGGATATAAACACAATATACATTAATGTAACTGGATATTAAATACTAAAACCATCAAAGATGAAGTGATGGCGTTTGGGGTCAGAAACCCAGCGGCTGTGTGATATCAGGTTCTGTGTGTCGCTGAGGACACGCTATAAGTCTATGGACACTTTAAACCAGCCAGATTATACACTGGACATCACGAGCTAATTAAGCCTTGTGAAAAAGAAGCGCAGTTTAGCATGCTTAAAATGCTAAGGCGTGTGAACTGAGTGTAATGTATCCAACATTTATTAGCATGTTATTTACAATTAAATTAGCCATTTTATTAAATGCAGTTAGTTGAACTTTGGAGTGTTTTTGACCCACTAAAGTACATCTTTATATGCAATTTCATAATTACTTGTATTGTCCTTGAAATATGATTAAAGTGCTTGGCAAGCATTTATGGTAAACCAAAATATACTTAAATATAATTTCTGTTGACAATAGTTTGTCATGTATTTAAATATATTACACATTTGTAATGTTGCAATTCAGTGCATGATTTAAAATATATCATAAATATAATTGTAAATCAAATCACACTAAAAGTACTTTACATGCGTGCTTTAGTACGTTAGTCAACCCATGTGTACTTCTTAAAAGCATACTTGCTTACTTAATCCTCTTCGTTTCACGTGAAGCTTTGTCTTTAAAGTAAAACTTTTAATTTGACACTATTATAAAGTGCACTTTTTAAAAGTATGTTAAGAAACAGTCATGAAAGTGGCTATATAGAAGTAGAATAATGTTATATAAATAAAAAAAAAAAAAATATATATACACTTTTAAGATCTGAAGTACACTAGTGCACATTCAATAATAATTAAACATACTTCTTTTTCACAAGGGAACACACCACTGTGGATATAGCTTAATTTACAAAATATAAAAAAAATGAATATATTACATTTACATTTTTGTATTATTATTTTATATATAAAGTATGTATGTATATATATATATATATATATATATATAATTTTTTATTTTTCCCCCCACCCATTGAGAATCACTTTAAAGCACACACTTAAACAGGACTGTTTTATTACCTATATTACTTCTTTATTACCTGTATCACCATTTTCCCCAAAAATGTTGAGAAAGACATCAGCATCTGTCCCACTGCCTTTCACGTCAGGTGTGAACACGCTCACAACATATTTATTATCTGCAAAAAATAGCACAATAAAGCATACAACAAACATTGACAAAAAAACATTTTAGGATGTAATACAGACACAAGCATTTATTAAACATGCCAAACATGTTTAAACAAAAGCATGAGCCAAGAAATCAGATGATAGAACTGTGCTTTTAGGATAATATATTTTTAAATATATTTGCTAAAATATATTTATGTAAATATATACATTTTCTATCAATAAATTCTTGGCCATTTTCTGAAAACATATTTTAAAAATATTGCTATATGAAGGTTGAAAATAAATTTATTTTCCATTTCAAATATATATTTCATTGAGCTTACAAAATATATTTAGCATATATTTATAATATACAACATATAATTTTTGCATGTTTTAAAGGAAAATGATTGCATTTAGCCATTACGTGCAGTGTTTGATCAGCAGGCTCATACAGAAAAACAAGTACGACATTCTCATATGTGAGCCTGGAGCACAAAACCAATTTTTTTTAAGGGTCAATTTTTCAAAATTGAGATTCATGCATCATCTGAAAGCTGCATAAATAATATTTCAATTGATGTATGGTTTGTTATGATAGGACAATATTTGGTCAAGATACAACTATTTGAATATCTGGAATCTGAGGGTGCAAAAAAATCTAAATATTGAGAAAATCATCTTTAAAGTTGTTCAAATGAAGTTGTTAGCAATGCATATTACTAATCAAACATTAAGTTTTGATATATTTACGGTAGGAAATGTACAAAATATCTTCATGGAACATGATCTTTACTTAATATCCTAATGATTTTTGGCATAAAAGACAAATCAATAATTTTGACCCATACAATGTATTGTTGGCTATTGCTACAAATATCCCCCAGTGACTTAACACTGCTTTTGTGCTGCAGGGACACATATCGATATGCATGGATTAAATTAGCACAGACTCTTTGGACTAGATGCCATCATGAAATTTCACTTAACTTGACATGACTCAAGGAATCAGAGGAAAAAGAGCAGAGACAGAGACAATTTCACAATTTTTCTCCATAGTCCAGCACTCTTAAAGGTGATATAGGAGATAAAGCCTCACATTTGGGCATGTCCATGGGGTCCAGACTACCCAGCAGGTCTCGGACGAACAGGCTGTCCCCTTCGGTTCTGCTCAGCCAGTTGTTGCAGGCGAAGTAGAAGCGTAAATGCGGTCTGTTCATGTCAGTGACCACGACCCGGTCCAGAAACCAGCTGGCGTTCAGACCCGTGTTATCATGTTCAATCCTGACAAAAGCACACCACACTACTAGTTTAAAGTTACAACTACTCATTCTTTAACTGTATTATTTCACACCCTCCAAAATAATTATAAAGCTGAACAATAATACTGTACTTTTAGTTTTGAACAGAAATTCATACAGTTGCTACAATTTATATTTATCTACCAGACTGAAGGCTTTAAATCAAAAGGATTTTAAGATCATGAGAAAATAAACAAACTTTTAATCTGTAGTCTGCATTTAATTATTGATTTTAGTCATATTAATATGTTTACAGTATATTATTAAATATTGCAAGTATAACTAATTGAATTAAACATGACATTTTGCAGCAGAAAAACTGAAATAGTATTTTCTTGTAAAATATACTCCAATAATTTGTTTTATTTACTACTTTTCATTTTTTTTCATTGTAGTAAAATAATATATTTGACTAATATTTAGTAAACTGAACTTATAATTGAAAATAAATATATACATTTTACTAATAGAGTAATGTATTAGTAAAATATATTATTTTACTAATATTTATTTATTTTCACATACTGTACATTATTGTTTCATATACTGTACATTATTGTTAAATTGGTCAACTTACCTAACTTTTTTCAAAGGGCCGACATTGTGTGTTTTTATCCGGAAGACATCAGTTTTGTTTTTTTCAAAAGCAGTTCGATTTCTGCAATAAATATCAATGCAAACAGAACCGTACTTAATTTCCGCAAACACAGAATCATCTAACCTGATTCAAAAGTTGAAGACAAAATCAAACCCTCAATCCCTTTAAACAATCACAATAATCAGTCTGTATATTAATGTGAGGTGTAAATGCAATGCAATGGTGTCTCAATGACAGATCCATCATGATCTTTAAGCACAATGACTTACAGTACAAACCTTGGAGAATAAATGCAAGTTATATGCACAATGGCTGTGTATTGCATCTCTGTTGCTTAAATGCACTCAGTGTACAATTACGGTTATTGTGTCTTGAGAAAGAAAATGCTTCATCATATTAAATACCCTTAGTAAACTTGTCATGACACATTTCAGAAAATACATGATATCTAGCAGTCAATATATCATGCATTTGCTGACAAACACACATATTCTGTAAATGAGCTTTATGCAGATGATATAGTCTGAATGATGTGTGTCTGGAAACAGAATAGTAAAGCGCTGCAGTATTTTCTCTCTACAGCACAATGCTATACATTTCCACAGGATTCACACCAGTTCATCAGAGTGATGTACAGCACATGCATATTGTAGCCTTTCATTATGAAGAGCAATAAACCTCGCTGAATCAGATTTTGCCATCATGCAAATGAAATATTGCTCCTTGATGAAAGGTTCTAGAATATCATGTGCGCATGGAAACGTCACAACAGCGGCGAGATCTGGATTCCCCTCAATCAGAGAGGAACAGACTCAAATACCTCTTGTCTGTGCTGTGGATTCGGGGAAAGACAGAACGATGGTGTTAAATATCATCAATAGAAAAAACATTCATGCACAACTGTAAACAACGAGACGTGTAGCTACCAGGCCAAACAGGCAATTCATTTATTATTTACACAGATGATTATGAGTCAAGTTTCAGGTCAGCAGAGCTTCATACGGACTCACTTGCTGGCCAGATGCAGTTTGGGAGTGATGCCATATTCGCCGAAGAGCGTGATGAAGATGTTGGCATCCGTTCCGGCTCCGTTGACATCTCCGGTGATGGTCACCACCTCATAGACTGAGAGAAAAACATGCTTGATTTGAAGGAACACAGAATACATGAGATCCGGTGCATTATTAATGAAGAGATTCCATAGCAGAAGAGCCTGAAATGTCCTGCTGAACAATGACTAAGCTCAGGAAAAACTCATCACGACATGATACAGTCAAGATAATCGACACTGAAATCAGAAAACAGATCATTAAAGCCCATTCACTCCAAGAACGATAACTATAATGATAACCCAGCAAACAGGGAATGTTCTCAAAACGTTCTGGCAAGGTTATAAGCAAACATTCTTCCAGTAGTGTTAATAAAACATTTTTTTCAGTTATAATGACTATTTATACATAATGTGTGGAACATTTTTCTGAAACATTTTAGTTTGTCTAACATTTTTAAAATGTTACTACTTGTTTGAGAACATTCAAAAGTAACATTTCCATAATGTTTGCAAAATTATAAAATGGAATGTTCTAGTAACATTTGTATATAACAAAGAAAAAAGTTTTTTTAAACATTTTGAACATAATTATTAAAAAAATTATGTTTTCATAACTCACTGATAACGTTAGCAAAACGTTCTTAGAACATTTTTCTGTTAACTGGGAATTTGAATCAGTCTAATGACTACAGTGTAAACAGTAGAGTCTGAATGACTCACGAATGAATGACTCTCTAACTGATTCCTTGTAATGAATCAGTCAAAAAGATTCTCAAAGACTCTCAAACTCACAATTTGAATCAGTATAATAACTACAGGATGAACAGTGGAGTCTGACTCATAAATGAATGAATCTGTAAATGATTTATTGTAATGAATCAGTCAAAAAGACTCACAAACAGCCTTAAATTCACAATATGAATCAGTCTAATAACTACAGGGTGAACAGTGGAGTCTGACTCATAAATGAATGAATCTGTAAAGTATTTCTTGTAATGAATCAGTCAAAAACACTCACAAACCGCCTCAAACTCACCATTTGAATCAGTCTAATAACTACAGGGTGAACAGTGGAGTCTGATTCATAAATTAACAAATCTGTAAATTATTTCTTGTAATGAATCAGTCAAAGAAAGACTCACAAACAGTTTCAAACTCACAATTTGAATTGGTCTTATAACTACACACTCTTAAAAATAAAGGTCGCAAAAGGGTGTTTTCCAACGCTATCTCACGGCCAATTCGTACATATTTTACGAGGTGGCAAATTCGTACGACCTCGTATGATTTTGCACAATTTGTCTAGACCCCAGTGACGGG